TGTGAGGGGGTGTGAGGGGGTGTGTGTGAGAGAGGGTGTGAGGGGGTGTGAGGGAGTGTGTGTGTGAGAGAGGGTGTGAGGGGGTGGGTGTGTGTGAGAGAGAGAGTGAGGAGGTGTGTGTGAGTGAGTGAGGGGTGTGTGGTGAGAGTGAGGGGGTGTGTGTGTGTGTGTGTGTGTGTGTGTGTGCGTGAGAGAGAGAGAGGGGCATCGAGGTTTATGTGTGTGTGTGTCTATGTGAGGGACACCGAACTGAAGCACAGGAAGAAGAGTGGCAAATCTTCATGCCCTGTATTTAAATTTACAAGGTTTTTTTCCTGCTCCTTCCTTCCATCTCTTGTATCAGCCAGTCAATATAAGAACATTTTTGTGTGTGCTGTAAGAATTGTTTTTCTTGTGGCAGCACTTTAAGAACGTGGGTAAAGTTTCCAGGAAACCCCTCCCCTCAACAAAAACAGAACTTTATACCTACCCTGAGCTCTACTGCTCTGTGGTATTCCCAAGGATATGCAGCAGAAGCTCTTAGTGTCTGCTTTCTACATTCCCAAAGGTAGAGCTCAGCCTGAACTCAAGCACGTGCCTGATCCCGAACCAAAGCCAGTTTTGGGTCACACCTGTTTTACACAACTTCTTTGCAAGGTCCCGTCCTTGTACAGGGCCACAGCAGCTGCTCTGTTTGCCCAGCAGAACCAAAGCTCCTGCCTCCTCCTGCGGCATCTTCAGATATTCCTCTGCTGAAAGAGCATTGCTATCAGCCGAAAGGTTACAATCCAGAGGAGGGCATAAGTCTAAAAATACTTAGGGCCTGCTCTTACCCAGTTAACCAGCATATAGATATTTACATCCATCACTGTTTTCAGTGTAGAGATCATAGCATTTGTGAAAAGAGGCTTCAGTTTACAGCAGACAGTAGGATGTGGATTGTTTTGCTTTGCTTTGATGTTGAGTTTTTTTCTTTCACACTTGTTCTAGAATTCCTGCCGGAGTAGGGAACTTTATTAATTATTAATGCAACTGGCTAAGCTGTGTAGAAAGGTGTGAGGTTTTGATCATTTACTTCGTTTGGTTCCATTCTCACAAGGGTTACTGTTGTGCACTGTGGATTTAATTTTACTTTTTTTACTGGTTTTATTGTTTTACGAATTAGCTGCCTTTTTGTTATAGTATCAACTGTTCTGTAACCTTTAAGGACATTGAAATGAAAGTAAATATAACAAGTAAATATAACAAGTATTCTTTACTTTAATTACATTCACTTATTGGAGTTTACAGTCTTACAGGATTGCATCTGTGTTACTTTTGACCTTACAGTGTAAAGATGCTAGAACATTCTTTCCCTCACACAATTTTTTCCTCCCTTTAACCTCCCTTTAGACTAAGATGTACCCATATTTATTTCAAATGATACCTGAAATTGGTTGTTCTGGTTATGATTGAGAATTCTTAACACTTTTTTCTTTGGAAAGCCTGATTTTAGTGCTGTGTAGCTCTGCAGACATTTTAACTGTGAGGATTATGGCATAAACTGACCTAAATGTTAGGGGTGTAGGATGAATGTAAAAGCTGAACTTTCAATTTATAACCTGACAAGACAAATCTGTGACAGTCTATCTTGTTTTGTAGTGTTAATAAACATTAGGAAATTATATATGGGAGCAACTGTAAAAGGATGTTGTTAAGATTGTCTCCCAGCTCATTCACTTAAAGCCATACTATGGAACAGCTGTGACAGAAAACTTGAAGCACAGAAGGGAAACATTGTATCTGTGTTTAACATCTGGTTAATGGCTTTCAGTTCTTGGGGTGAATAGTGCTGGCAAACTGGAAGTGAAATTGAAACGTGGTTCTGTAACCTGGCAGCTTGCCTTAACTTTACACATCCTGAATTTTGGTTTGGTTGCAGAGTACAGATAATGTCAAATTAGGAACTTTAAACAATAAATATAGTGTAAAAAATAAAAATTATTCTTAGTGCCTCTGAGTTCTAGTGTTATGCTTACTAGAAAAAAAACCTGAAAGAATGAACAGGGGTAACAGGAAGGAACACACAGTCCTTGTTGGTTAAAGATGAACATAGCCCCAGGGGCATCAAAAAGCTCTTCATATCAAAGAATACCAAAACTCTTTCAGAGAGGGTGGGGTTTTTTGTGCTCTGTTTTTAGTTAGTGTTTTCTACCCCTCCTTTTATTCTGCAGTAAGCTTACTGCTGATCTTTTAGGCATATTGTAAAGCCCCCAGCTCAGTTCCCAGGCCTTTGAAGAGGAAGAGGGCAGCTGAGGGCTGGGGGAATATTTGGCTTGGGATTAGTAAATAGCAAAGAGGTTTATTTTCCCTTTGCACATACAGGAAATTACTAGGATTGCTTATGTTGTTGATGTTAATTTGTCTTTCTTAGTATATGTCTAGCTGCTTAGAGCTTTTTATGTTTGCATAAAATGAAATAAGCCTACAAATTGGAAAAATACTAATCTTCCTATTGCAGCTACATATAGTGGGTTGCATTTTCAAAAGCTGCAATTTGGACTCCCTCTTTTCATAAATGGGCTTTGAACTTACAACACCTTCATTAAATAAATAAAAATGCAAAGGTTTAAGGACCATTGGGATTTATGTTTTGTAAGTGTGCATGTGTCAAAGTACCCAATTAACCATTAAGCTTCTCTGCTGCTTGCAAGTTATTCAAACAGTTAAGAAGTGGAAGGTATTCCTACCACCTACTAACTAGCAAGTAACAACGTGAAGGATAATTATTAGCAGAATACTAATCCTTCAGGGCTCCTCACAGAGTAACTCACCAAAGATCTCTCCCAAACTCAGAATAAGTCTTCTCACCTTCTGGAAGAGTCTTTTACTTTTCATTGTCCATCCATGGAACTGTGGACATGACCTTTTAAAATTAAGGTGCTCAACTAAGTGCCTGATATCAGGCAACATGATTGCTTCCTCCTTCTCCCATCATCAAGACCCAAATATGATTTTAAATATAGGAATGTCACCTTCACCTCAACTGTTTTTCCTTAAGTCTGTATTGTACATTTGAGCCAGTTCATTTTCAAAAATGAGTGGAAGCCAACAAACTTCAGCCCTAACTACATCTTAGCTAAAACCTCTTTGATGTGAATTATTGGGTACTCACAAAGATGACATTCCCTCAGAAATATTCACCTGATGTTTCATGACTCGAATCATCAGTCCTAAGTTCTCTGGTCTTCCTTGACATGGTGTTGTGTTTCTCAGCTGTAAAAGGCTGTGTCCTTATGCCTTCCTGATGTTCTGTGCCTTCACCTTGCCAATTCCTCGTTTCACTGGAGAGCACAGATGGATGCCCATCTTTAGTGCAGCACCATGGCTGTGGATTAGTACCAAACAGCTGTAGCAGAGTAGAAGGCAAGGGCTGCAGCCATGAACTTATCCCTCTAAAGCAGCAATGTGTGTTTCCACCATTGGTGGTACCAAAGACTCCAGTGAGACTCTTCAGGTACTCAAATTGAAGCAATTGCCGAAGTGGACAGATTCTACTGTGCATTGGAAAGGAGATGCTAAAGTAGAGGAGGAGTCCTTACACTCTTCCCAAACAATTTGAAAATTACATTTTCTGCATGGCTAGAAATAATCTGGATGAACTTCATGTTCTTGGATATGCCATCCTCCATTTACACCATTTTAATTGGCATTTATTATATTCCTAAGCATATTTATGCATAGTTTACTGTTGTAAAATTTTATTTCTTGGCAGCAGCCACATTAAAGCAACATTTAGGTATACTAAAAATTAATTTTTTAGTCTTGACAGCATTATCTACAGACTTGCTTTGAAGCTTTGATTAGTACAGTATTGTTTAGAACAAGGCCATATATGAAAGGTTGCTGAGACCATTCTTTAAAAGTAGCTGATGCATTTAATTTTAACAATTGCTAGGTTTATTATTCAAACTTGGAGTATACTGCAACATTTTCTGTGAAAACAGAATTAAGGTTTTTTCATCCACATCGAAAGACAGTATCTTACTGGACACATGAATCTGTACTCTACAACAAGGAAGGGCTATGAAGAGTAACTTAGGAGACTGGTAAGTGTCACAAACCACCTAAAGAGATGGTACAAAAAGAGCAGTAGGGCTGCATGTGTTTCTTTGGTTTTCCTGGCCATATGTATTGGATGACACTGTGCCATTGAACATGTACTGATCCCTGGAAGGCTGCAGGGCTGGGCCGATGGAAGCAGGAAGGACCATTGTCTACACACGGAGTTTCTGCAAGTGGTGAACAAGGTCGGTGTCGTCAGCCAGAGTAACTTCCATGCTGTACTGTATAAACCCATTCCTTATTATCTGCTGGCTCTTCT